GCTGGTGCTGGCGGCGGCGGCGGCGGGGTGGCGGCGGTGGCGGTGGTGGTGCAGCATGCATTAATGTTAGTTTTAGTTTTAGCTGGCATGTTGTGTTGCTCTCGTCCTATTACCCGGCTTTGTTACTGGATCCAATCGCACGCGGTGACAGGACATTGTCGGCGCGGCTCTGCAAGCCACAGAGAAATGTATCAAGCAGTTTGGACCTCGGGATGGAGAAATACTGAAAAATGCGGGCAGTGAGAGTTGAGACCACTTGCCGCCAAGGTGGCAGCAGCGCTGCCGTGCTTTGGCAGCGAAGTGCCAGGCGAGAGGGCTCCGTCTCCGATGGTCTGAAGCATGGCTTTGTTTTTGGGGTATTGTCGGGTCGACCGTGACCGTGAACACGCCCGTGAACACCTGCGCTGCGATGCCATGAGTGCAGGAGCTCGTTGCTCTCATCGAGGACAGGCTGGCCACCCTTCCCAAAGGGAGCTATGCAGAGGAGCACCGGGGCGTGATTACCTCGTTTCGTTGCCGCGCCTGGCAGGTGCCTGAGCTGAACACTCGCAAATGCAACGATCACTGCAGGAGCTTGCTGCCGCGCTGACAAAACCCTGGCAGCCACGAGTTGCTGCCCTTCGCAGGCGACCCGTCACTTCTGTGATGACAGGCATTCTGCAGTGAATGTTGACCGGGTCGACCGCCTTGATTGGTGCCCAATATCCCCGAAAAGCGATGCTGCAGCCTCCGAAACAATGCTTGTCGGTGTTCGGCAGTCGCAACTGCAGCAAAGTAATTACTCTCATCGTATCAGGCAGATGTGGCCTGCAGGGGGCTAAACCAGCTACTAGTACGGCAGGTTGGAGTGTCAGAACCGATCAGCAGCTCTTGCACATCTCCGAAGCTCACTGTCAGGTTGCTGGACACAGTCGACGGAGCTGTGGAGGAGCGCCTGCTTTCAGTACTCAAGAGACAGAAGGAAACAACCCGTGCTAAGGTGCGGTATCGGGTTTGATGGCGGGCTGGGGAGGACCTTACCGGATTTGCCACAGTTCCCGGCGTCAGATCTTGAAGTTCTCGAAGTCTGTGTGCACCCTGCATGACCGCAAGTGTTGCCACTGCTGCCCAGGAGCAGGATCGCTTGCGAGCTGGTCTCGCTGAAGCCTGCGCAGCCCTAGGCCAGCCGGGCTTCGCGGCTTGTTTGTTTCTTCCCCGCTGAGAGCTGGGGACTGCATAGTCGGGACGTGGAGTACGGTCTAAGCGAGTCTAAGCAGGTTGGAGGAGAGACTGAAGTAGGATTAAGCCAGGTGCCTCTTCTCGTGATTTGGACCGTGTATGAAGTTCTGGGCGGTGTTCTGCAAGTGGTTGCTGCATGGCAAAGGGTCAGCCTCGCAGATGAGGGTTGCGGCGGAGCGTTGCCCCATCGAGGCCACGCCAAACCCGATAACTCCAGGCGAGCGAAGCCGAGCTTGTCTCGTATGCGCGAAGGACAGTCGAAGCACCGAATTCCTGCCTTGCAACCACGGTCCGCAAAAGCTCAGGCGGTCCACGATCCTCCTACACACCACATAAAAGCTTGAAGAAGATAATATAGAGGACATGACGACGTTCATTTCGGCCAATTCTATTGCTACGCCGCCTCGGCCTGACTGTGGCGGCAGCATGTGTGAGTCTTCAGCTCAGGGACTGAATTTCGAAACTGGAACCCCGAAGCGGGTGTCACTGGACTTTTGGGCTGCAGGGAGGCGGATTCGGTGGTGGGCACTAAGTGTCGGATTCATGCTGCTTGTGTGTGCTTAACTGTTTGGGATAGCCCATGTGAGCCAAGATGTTTAGAAGCAGTACCAGTACCTGAGTCTTAACGGAGGAACACTGTGACACAATCCACTCTGTTTCGCTGATTGCCGAAAGAGCAGCAGAAAACTGTCGGAAAAGGACCAGAAAGGGGGCAAAGGAGATCTGTGGGAGGGGCTGCGGCCTCCCTGCGAGGCCTGGATCCCTCAGACGTGGCGGGCATGAGCCCCGAGGAGCTCAAGGCCGAGGTCTCGCATGGCTCTGAGTGTGTATACGTGGCTTTTCTTGAGAAGGACTTCTCTAGGCCCTAGGCCTAAGCTTTTAAGCATTCGCTGTGTCTGAGGGCACGGGGAGGCGGATGGAGGTGGGTTGAATGCATTTCGCTTAATTACAGATTTGAGAAGATCCTGGCTCCAAACCAATACAGTCGCCACACAGGGACTGGCATGCAACAGCTTTTGGCTGGATTCCCACCTTTGCGAGGCCGCGCGGCGGGAGCGGGACCTCAAGCAGCGGTACGAGGAGACGCTGCGGGCCATGGGCTGCTTGGGACGTTTATGGCGACATGGGGGGGGGGGGGGGGGGGGGNNGGGTCCGAGTCGAAACAGACCTTCAAGGATGAAGATGGTCGTCACAGCATAGGAGCAGGCTCTGGGCAGCCGCCAAATGCTACTAGTAACATGTCGTAAAAACTCTTATGAGCGAAATCGGGGATTTCTGAGGACAAAGGGCGAAGGAGAAGTAAACTGTCAGTCCAGCAAATCAATAGCAAAGTATGATCAAGCCACAATGTTGTTCCTGAAGTGAACAGAGCACTCTTGCGTTTGTTGCATTAGCTCACAGCCTGCTTCCGGTTAGCCATCCGAGTTGTAGGTCACCGCGGGCTTGCTAAGCATTGTCTACGTGCTAGTGAAAAACCTGCAGGCATCAATCACCACAACATGTATTCGCAAGTGTTTGCCCTGTTTGCACTCGTTTGGTTCACATGTCTGACTTGATTAATGTGTCATCTTCCCAATGCTTGCTGCCAACAGATCAAGAACAACAGACTGGGCCAACAAGCACGATAAGTTCAGTGTATTTAAGCGAAACTGGTGGTTTCAAGAGTTGCAAAGCATGGCCGCTAGTGTAGCCTTCCTATAACGTTTGAGACGCATGCGGTCACAGTTTTCCCGCCTTGGTGTTATGCTTGTTGCCTACCTCCTTGTTTGCACGAGATGACTGATGCATGAGCTGCGGTATAAATGTCGCCCAAGGCTCAAGCTGGCCTCATAGTACTGTATCAGCTTCCACTTGCTTGCGCACCCGTTCTCCGTTTCCTTCGGTCCATCATTTACGCTTATTTTGCACGTTCTCTTGATGCCTGGTGCGCCCGGACGTTCACGTTGGTCTCATACTTTTCTTCCCACTTTGTTCTGCTCACTCCCTCTGTACCACTTCGTCATTTTAGGCGGAAGGTTGCCTTGCAGCTTACGTAATTGCAGCAGTGGAGGGGAGGGTCGTGTGCCAAGTGTGCGCCAAGGTCTCAACCCCGAAGATTTTCCCTTGGATGGCGACCTGGCCTCGATGGCAGCGAAGCTGAAGGCCCGGGATGCCTGAACCCGGCCCAGGCCCTCCACTACTCGCCCGGAAGAAAGCAGAAGTCCCTCACATTTCGCCAAGTGCTCGGATATGTTCGCGACAGGACATGGAGGCGAAGCTCGCAACACTAAGAGCTGCTCGTCTACTATGTTTCAGGTGAGGAATTCTAGCCGTTTTCAATTTACATGCTGCGACTCAGGACTCCACCTTCGAGAATGCGCAGCGTGCCAAAGAGATTTGGGAGGCGAAGACTCGCAAGTCTCAGATTGAGCCAGGTTTTCAGGCTTTTTGTAGACTTTCACGTCTAGGTTCTGCAGATCATGTGTGGGCGGCATCATCCCAGCAAGCTCGTTTGATCATCAAGCTTTGCTTCTGTTGATTTGCTCAAGCATTTTCCCTGACTCACGCGACAAGACATGATCTGTATGTCATCATGGTGCAAGCCGTCTTCTTTACAGCCGCCACGCGCACGGGAGCTGGATAAAGCTAGATTTTCCTAGATATTCCCTGCATTCAGGAAACCATGCTAGATATTTCCTGCATTCAGCAACCAGGCTGCTAGATATTCCCTCATTCACAAACCAAGCAGCTAACCGTGTCCTGCACTCCGAAGCCAACCTGCTGAACTTGGGAACTGCACGTTCCGTCATGATTGTCTGAGCGTTTTCGACTAGCATTATCTAGCATTTTCTAGCATCCCTGGTCCTCCGGGACCTGGCCGGAATCTAGCATTTTCTAGCATATTGTCTATCATTATCTATCTAGGTTGGCGTAGTGTTTGCCTGGTGGGGCACGTGGTTTAGGGTTTAAGTTTCCATTCTGGAGGCTAGAAAGCCCAGCATTTTTTTGTTTCCGGACCTACCTACCGTTTCAATCTTTCAAAGCCACGAAGATGAGCAAAGTAATAATCTAGCTTTACCTAGCTTTGTCTAGCCGCCCTTGTCGGGCTAGATTTTTCGTGTGGCTGTGAACCTGACGGCCGCGAAACCACCACCAATGTATTCCTGATATATGACTGTATAACATGGTCTTGTCTTCGCAGTGTCCTAGCGATAAGTGACTTTGAAAGATCTGGCCACTGAGATCCCTAAATCTGGTTGGTAATTAATTATGTCCAATGATGTCCTACTCAGTCAAGCATGCAACTTACGGAAGCAAGTCGATGCTACAACAAGAAATCTCAGTGTCAACCCGTACCATTCCGCCCCCCCCTCCCCCCCCCCCACACCCATACGCTGCGGAAGGAGCTCCGCGAATCACCGGAGATGCCTCGAGATGTCCAGGCGTGAACGGCGGGTCAAAGCCCGCACAAAACAGCATCGTTCAGACATTCTTTCTTGTCGTGGGATAGGCCGTGGCGGTGGCTGCCAACGCACCGCAAAGCGTCACTGCGGCAATCGCACGTGCAGTGGAAGACAGTTTGCGGGCATGGGAGGCCCAACATGCACGTTGTGTCCTGGACTCCGGTTAGCGTTGGCGGATATGGACTGCAAGCCGAACTCCACTTGCATCCCTTTCGGCCATGCAGGTTGGTTGAGGTATGACATGTTTGGCAGATCGTGTGCTAGCCTCCCGTGGAATACTCGCCAAGTTTGTGCCAGGCTCGACGTGCAGAGCGCAGGAAAGAGGCTGCAACTTGGACGGTGTTCTACAAGCCTTCCCAGGGCAGGATGTACAGACGCAGGACCTTCGATGCTCACTGCCACAGCTCTTGCCCGTTCGCATGCTTCCGACGGTCCAAGGAAGGCCTCCATGCAGCCATCCGTGGCCACGGCTCAGCCAAGGTCGCCGAGGTGGGGCTCTAGACGCTGTGACGAGGGTTGACCTGCTTCCTGTCGACTCTATGTAGCCCTACTAGCGACCATCCTTCCCCGTTGATTCGATTTCCGAACGAGCCTTCCATCCACAGGTAATCCCGCTCGCTCCAACATGGTTCGCACTTCCGAGGTTTCAGCCGGAAACACTCATCATGTGCCAGGAGGTCCCCTAAAGGCCCACGGAAACCCGCTAGAACATCATGCACACGAATGTCGAAAGCAATACAAAGCCAAGGGCACGCCACAGATGGCGTGCTAGGCGTGGTACACTGGCTGGCGCTTGTTCAGGACTTCCTGTCTTCCCACTCGGGTCTGCATGCAGCGGACCTGGAGGCTGATCTGCTGAAAAATTTGGTAATCGGCATCTACAAGCTGCACTTGCATGCGGTCGCGGCGTGTACTGACAGTAAGGACAACCATTAAGGAGACCCAATGCAAGTTCTCGCCGCGATAACTGCGTCTGGCTCAACATCAGCAGGCCCTTCAGACAATAACATGAACAGATGCTGAGCGATGCGTGCGCTGGCGCTATGGTGGCTCGTCGCCTGGCATTTGCCAAAGGTTCTTGCAAATGCCAGTGGCGCACTGTCGAAGCAGCAGTGGCAGGAATACCAGGACTGTCACAACAGACGAAGGTCAAGAAGCATGTTCATTCACGACCCCTCCGAGCCAACTTTACCGCAAGCCGGGAGGAGCTTGCTTACACCCTCGTGGCGAGCATCGAGGCTCCTCCACCGCTGTCGTGATCAAAGCATCCGGGCACCAACTCACTCACTCAGCCAAGGGCCCGGCCAGCGAAACCTTGCGCCGGCGCTTGCAAGCCCTCGCGCAGGCAGAGTGTGCGCAATTTTCTTGAAATTATATATATATATATAGGTGGTTGAGGGAGCGCCTGCCTGTTGGGATGCGAACCTTTGCTTTTGCTGATGTCTTTGCACAGTGAGGTTTTCGCAGCGCTTCCGAGACTCATGTTTTCATTTTCAACATGACCTCCCCTTCTCAATAGCATGGAAAGTAACACACGGGTTTATACCAGCTTTGTGCCGTGGCTGGGTGGAAACTTGCACGGCTTTAAGAGCTCGGGCGCGGTGCAGCCGCCCCCATCGGAAACATGATGACTGCATGGCGGGTCCTGAGAGGATTCCCTTGCTGGCATGCTCTTAATCGAAACTAAGCCTAACCAAGCTTGCACAGTGTCAACCTCCCCTAGTTTGCAAGCTTGATGATTGCACAACACTGCGGATTCACACTGTGTCTTTGCATTTCCTGCTGCAGTGCTTGGGCGGATGATTGCATCGCGGGGTGCATGAGGATTTACAGCGTGTCTTTGGATGGTACCCTGTTCTTATTGAAGCGGGGGGATTTGGGAGCGCGCCCGGCCCCCCATTTGCAGACATTTTAAACCCTGGGGCTAGCACGGAACTGCACCTAAAGTAAAAGCCCGGAGGGCGAAGTAGTTAACAGCATGCAGGAAAGCCGACCCTTCGAACCGGAGTAGCTATAGAACACGAACGGAACAATCATCATCAGCGTTATCAACATCTCGGCCATAATTGCAAGCCACAACCGCAGCAGAATAACTGTCTGTGGCGGCCAATCCCTCCCCCGGCACCCCCCCAAAACGTTACCATCACCCCCTTTCAACAACGGTAAATCGCTCGTACTTGTAGGGGGGAGGGGGCGCGCCTACTACGACCACCACCACGACGACAACTACTACTACAACTACTCCTACTACTACTACTACTACTACTACTCCTACTACGACTACGACTACTACTACTACTACTACGACTTCTGCTGCTACTGCTACTGCTACTATGACCAACAGCATTAGCACCACCACGACGACGACTGCTCTTGCTCCTGCAGCAACAGCTGCTGCTGCTGCTCCTACTACTCCTACTACTACTGCTACTGCTACTGCTACTGATACTGCAACGACGACGACTGCCACGACCAAAACGCAGCCTGGCCCCACGTGGCTTTTGCCTTGATTGCATCAGCGGTCTAAGCCTTATGGACAAAGGTTCCGGGAGGAGAAGGGAAGGGGCGTTGAGATTGGGAGTTTTGCGGCTTTGGGTTGCGGGGCTGAGGGTTTGGGCTTTTTCGGTTTGTAGATTTAGATTTGTCAGGTGTAAGCTTTCTTAAGGCCCTAAACCCTACTGAACCCTAGGACTTCGTAAGCCCCTGAACCTTAAACCCTACTGTTGATGATATAAACCCTGCATTACCTTAAGGACCCTAAACTATGGGAATGATGGGATAGTCCTTATTATGGGTACTGCAGTATTTCTATCATCAACCCTAGCATTTCTTAAGCCCCTAAACCCAAAACCCCAGGATTTCTTAAGCCCCCAAACCCCAAACCTTAGGATTTCTTAAGCCCCGGGCCATCTGAGCCTTGGGTGCCGCGTTTTGCTTCGTTGGTCTTCGGACGCGAGTGACCTGCGACAGCTCGAAGGACGTCATCAGTCTAGGGTTTAGGGTTATAGGGTTTAGGGTTTATAGACCTTAGGGTTTAGGGTTATAGGGTTTATCGACCTTAGGGTTTAGGGTTATAGGGTTTATAGAGTTTAGGGTTTAGGGTTATAGGGTTTAGGGTTTATAGAGTGTAGGGTTCAGGGTTATAGGGTTTAGGGTTTATAGAGTTTAGGGTTTAGGGTTATAGGGTTTAGGGTTTATAGAGTTTAGGGTTATAGGGTTTAGGGTTTATAGACCTTAGGGTTTAGGGTTATAGGGTTTAGGGCTTATAGAGTTTAGGGTTATAGGGTTTAGGGCTTATAGACCTTAGGGTTTAGGGTTATAGGGTTTAGGGCTTATAGAGTTTAGGGTTATAGGGTTTAGGGTTTATAGAGTTTAGGGTTTAGGGTTATAGGGTTTAGGGTTTATAGAGTTTAGGGTTATAGGGTTATAGGGTTTAGGGTTTATAGAGTTTAGGGTTATAGGGTTTAGGGTTTATAGACCTTAGGGTTTAGGGTTATAGGGTTTAGGGCTTATAGAGTTTAGGGTTTAG